GTTGTTTGTAGATGTCCTTATGTAGGTCTATACAATGCTCGAAGCAGGTCTAATATTACATTAGTAATACACCAAATTTAGTTGTATTAGGGACTTCCCTGTCAGCAGACCTCACCCTGGGGACCGTTGGCAACGCCAAGGCCCAAGAGGAAGAGAGTAAGCAACATCAAATTGTCTGGGCCGGAATGGGCCTGCGTGTCTTGTAACGAGAAGCCCGAGTCGGCGTGAGGTCCGCTTCGTCGGCCCACTGAGGTCCGATGCTGAGAAAGAGACGAAGCGAGTATATGTATTCTGAAGAGAGACGAAGAAGGGGATCATCAAACAACTGCTGTATTGTCTTTCTGGCTGTAGCAAACAGACACTTCTGTCAATATACATCGTAGATTCTGTAATTCCTTCCTAAGTCCGGCCGTTCGCCGCCGTGAAGGCTAACAGTGGTATCAGAGCCGTTGATCCCCGGCCACCGCGCGTGCTGGAGATCCTCCCACTCGCCCATCCCCACTTCACCCGCCTTCAACGCTTCCGCCGCGCCATGGATCCCGTGGTCCGCCAGATGTTCGACGATTTGATTCACCGCTTCGACGCTTTCCGCTCTGAGTTTGACGGTCTCGGTGCCCGCCTGGATCGGCACTTCACCAAGACGGAGGCCACTTCTCCGAGCACTACTCCGCCGTCGACCGCCGCCTGGACTCCTTGGAGCAGTTCGCCTCCGCCCAGTACACCGCCGCCATCGTCGCCGACAACTGGGGTGGCCACTTCTCCGAACACGTCAGCGAGCTGGAGGGGCGCGTCCATGATCTGGAGATGGTGCTCTACGTCGAGATCCAGGACGAGCGCGATGAGCGGGTCACCGCCCTCGAGTCTGCCTCGGAGGCGTTCAAAGCCTGGCGTCCCCGGATCGAGAGCTCCCTCTTAACCATTCGCTCGGAGGTGGATCGGTTGTCCAAGCTCTGGGATCGATCCAGCGTTGCTCCTAACGATGGATCTCCCGGGCCCAAATGTATTATGGAGTTGGTCGCCAGGCGAGCACCTGCCAAAGCAACGACCGACTGGCCCAGTGGGCACGATGTGGCCTCACCAACACGGGATGTGGGGTATGGTTCGGTCACGACCATAGCCCCGTTCCCGGCCAATGGTACGTTACCCGCCCCCAATCCTCCTCCGCCGCCGTTACAGTTCCATTCTCCTCCACCACCACCATATCCTTCCCCTCTACCACCGCTTACGTACCCTCCTCAGCCTCCCCCACCACCGCCGAACCCATACCCGCCACCATACTACCCGCCGCCTACGTTTCCACCACCACAATATTCTCCCCATTCCACTCCGCAGCACATAGCCCCACATCCCAATTTCATACCCAATGCACATCAGCCTAATTACTTTCCCCACCAAGCCAACCCCAATTTAGGCCAACTCCCTAAGATGTTGTTTCCTCAATTCGATGGGGATAATCCTAAGTTGTGGCTGTCCCGTGCTCGTCCCCATTTCGAAATGTACTCGGTTCATCCAGCGATCTGGGTTCGCGTGGCCACTCACCATTTCACCCATGCCGCAGCTCGCGGGCTTCAGTTTGTCGAGTCTGAAGTTTAGAACATATCCTGGGAATCATTCTCTAACCTCATCCATGAGAGATTTAGCCGTGATCAGCATGAGCTGCTCTTACGCCAGCTTTTCCACATTAAACACACCTCCACCATTTCTGATATTTTTGAACAGCTCAAAGCCTATAATCCTCACCCTGATAAACTCTACTTTACTACTCGCTTCGTTGATGGTTTATGCGAAGACATTTGGTCTGTTGTTATGGTTGCTCGACCCCAAAACCTCGATACTGCTTGTACTCTCGCCTTGTTATAGGAAGAGGTGCTGGACCAAGGTATCCGCAAGGAATTCAAGTGCTCAGAAGCGTCACCGTTCGCTCGCACAGCAACAATCAAGGGTGCTCTTCCCTTGCCTCTTCCACCCAGACGTCCCCAAGCTGTTCCTGATCCAGTTGCTGAGAAGCGAGTTCCAAACAAGTCTACTTCCATCGACGACAAGCTGTCCACACTGCGAAATTACCATTGAGCTTGTGGACTCTGTGTTCGCTGCACGACAAGTGGGTTCTAGGCCATCGGTGTGCTCCAGTTCCACAAGTTCATGCTCTTCAAGAAGTCCGGGACCTGTGTTCCAAGGCATTCTAGGAAGTTGGCGATAGTCCTCTCCAAGATTCTGAACAGCCCACCGATGTTCAGGCTTTCATGATGATATCCTCTGCTGTGGCCTCTGGTTCTGCTGCTCCCAAAACGATGCAATTCAAAGGTTCATTGCTGGGTCGTGACGTCGTCATTTTGGTGGATTCCAGAAGCAGCCATTCCTTCTTGAGTTCCTGCCTTGCAACCGGTCTGGCCAAACCTGAGGCCTCTTCCTAAACCAATGACAGTAAGAGTGGCTAATGGAGGATCTATTCTCTGCTCTGTCGAAGTTAACTGCGCTGAATGGTCAGTTAAAGGCTACAGTTTCCACTCTACTCTGCGCATCCTGCAGTTGGGCTCCTATGACATGATTGTCGGTATGGATTGGTTAGAGGCCTTCTCACCTATGAGGGTTGATGGGCAACACAAGTGGATGAGCATTCCTTATGGCCAGCACCATGTTGTCCTTCAGGGTCTGTTGCTGGATTCAGATCAGCATTCTATCATGCAACTTTGTCACATTGCTGCTTCTGCGCCTTCACCTGCACCACCTGAGCTTCCTCTAGCCATCTAGCATCTCATTGAAGAATTTTCTGAGCTGTTCCAAGAACCGTCTGAGCTGCCACCTCGCCGTCAATGCGACCATCATATTCCCTTGGTTCCCGGTGCTCCTCCAGTTGCTGTCCGTCAGTACCGTTACAAGCCGGCGCTCAAGGATGAGATTGAAAAACAAGTCTCCGAGATGTTGCGGTCAGGCATGGTACAGCCGAGCTCGAGCACCTTCTCTTCCCTGGTGCTCTTGGTCCGCAAGAAAGATGGTTCGTGGCGGTTCTGTGTTGACTACAGGATGCTCAACGCCTTAACTGTCAAGAGTAAATTTCCTATTCCAGTAGTGGATGAGCTGTTGGACGAGTTGGCCCACGCTCGCTGGTTTTCTTGCTTGCATCTCTGGGCTGGCTTTAATCAGATTCATCTGGCACCTGGTGAAGAACATAAAACAACCTTCCAAACACATTGGGGTCAGTTTGAGTTTACTGTCATGGCCTTCGGATTGACCGGCGCCCCAAATACCTTCCAAGGCGCCATGAACACCACTCTCTACCCTCTGTTGTGTAAGTGTGCTCTGGTTTTCTTCGACGACATTCTTGTGTACAGCCGTACTCTCGAAGACCACATTCAACACCTTCGCCAGGTCTTTACCCTGTTAAAAAGAGACCAGTGGAAAGTTAAGATCTCCAAATGTCGTTTTGCCCAGCAGTCCATTTCATACCTTGGACACATTATCAGCCATAATGGCGTGTCTACAGACCCTAGCAAGATCGAGTCTATCCAGCAGTGGCCTCAACCACAGAATATCAAAGAGCTCCGCAGCTTCTTGGGGTTAGCCGGCTACTACCGTAAGTTCGTAAAGCACTTTGCTACATTGGCAAGACCTCTGACTGATCTTCTCAAGAAGGGATCTATATTCATTTGGACTCCATCTCATCAAGCTGCTATGGATGCTTTGAAGTCTGCCCTTGTTTCAGCTCCGGTGCTCACCTTTCCGGACTTTAGTAAGCCATTTCAGTTGCAGACTGATGCTAGCGACTTGGGTGTTGGTGCAATCCTGTTACAAGATGGCCACCCACTTGTATTTGCTAGCAAAGCACTTGGCCCCCGAACTAGAGCTCTGTCTACTTATGAAAAGGAGTTCCTGGCCATCCTAGTGGCAGTCATATCTACAGCATAGCGAATTTACAATCTTCACCGACCAACGCAGCCTCATGCACATCACTGATCAGCCCCTGTAGACTCAGTGGCAGCTCAAGATGCACACCAAACTGGCCGGTCTTCAGTACAAGGTCGTTTACAAGCCCGGCACGTCCAATTCTGCAGCCGATGCCCTGTCTTGTCATCCCAACCCGCCATCCCAACTCCAAGCTCTATCCATTTCCACTCCGGCTTGGCTTGCAGATGTTACAGCAGGTTATGCATCTGACCCGGAATCTTCCAAGTTGCTCCAGGAGCTGTCTGTTAACCCTCACAACCATCCACCATTAACCTTGCATCATGGAGTCATTCGCTCATCAGGCCGCATCTGGGTTGGCAACAACCATCAACTGCAGCAAAACATTATTTCAACCCTTCATGACAGTGCGCTGGGAGGTCATTCCGGATTTCTAGTCACTTACAGTCGCATTAAGAAGCTATTCTGCTGGCGCGGTATGAAGCAGACCATCAAAGCTTTTGTTGTTAACCTGCTCAGTTTGCCACCAGGACAAACCAGATAGAGCCCGCTACCCGGGTCTCCTCTCGCCTCTCCCAGTTCCTGCAGAGGCCTGGCAAATGGTATCCATGGACTTCATCGATGGCTTACCACCTTCTGGACACGCCAACTGCATCATGGTGGTAGTGGATAAGCTAAGCAAATTCACACATTTCATTCCATTACATCATGCTTATACAGCCCAAAGAGTAGCACAAGCTTTCCTCGACAATATCTTCAAAATTCATGGCTTGCCTACTCATATCATCTCAGATCGTGATCCCATCTTTACCAGCCAGTTTTGGCGAGAGCTCTTTCGTCTTGCCCAAGTGACTTTGGCTATGAGCTCAGCCTACCACCCTCAGTCTGACGGTCAGACCGAATGTGTAAATCAATGTCTCGAAACATACCTGTGGTGTTTTGTTCATTCCTGCCCAAGACAGTGGTTGAAGTGGTTGCCACTTGCCAAATACTGGTACAATACTAGTTCACACTCAGCTCTGGGAAAGTCGCCATTTGAGGTATTGTTCGGTCGATCTCCTCGTCATTTTGGTATTACTGAACTTGCTGCTTCCCCTATGTCGGACGCGGCCTCCATGCTGGCGGAGTGGACCACCATGCTGGCCTCTATACGTCAGCATCTCCTTCGAGCACAGCAGTGCATGAAGCATCAGACGGAGAAGAAGCGCTCGGAGCGTTCGTTCCAGGCTGGCGACTTCGTCTACCTCCGTCTGCAACCTTACGTTCAGTCGTCGTTGGCGCCGCGCTCCCACCACAAGTTGTGCTTCAAATACTTCGGTCCCTTCAAGGTGCTGTCCAAGATTGGAGCGGTGGCGTACAAGCTTGAGCTTCCGCCGACGTCTTCAATCCACCCGGTGTTCCACGTCTCGCTGTTGAAGCCGGCGTCGTCCGCTGTTCCAGCAGTCTCCGCCAGGCTCCCCGACCTCGACAACAACATGCAAGTCCCGGAGCGCGTGCTGCAGTCCAGACTTCATCAACGTGGTACCCACTCCGTCAAGCAGTTGCTGATCAAGTGGTCCGGCCTCGACGACGAGCTTGCTACCTGGGAGGATGCCGACGCCATCATGCAGCGCTTCCCTGGTGCTTCGGCATGGGGACATGCCGGCACTCAAGGGGGGAGGGATGTCAGCAGACCTCACCCTGGGGACCCGTTGGCAGCGCCAAGGCCCAAGAGGAAGAGAGTAAGCAACATCAAATTGTCTGGGCCGGAATGGGCCTGCGTGTCTTGTAACGAGAAGCCCGAGTCAGCGTGAGGTCCGCTTCGTCGGCCCACTGAGGTCCGATGCTGAGAAGGAGACGAAGCGAGTATATGTATTCTGAAGAGAGACGAAGAAGGGGATCATCAAACAACTGCTGTATTGTCTTTCTGGCTGTAGCGAACAGACACTTCTGTCAATATACATCGTAGATTCTGTAATTCCTTCCTAAGTCCGGCCGTTCGCTACCGTAAAGGCTAACATTCCCGCTTCCATAAACTGATCAGACCCACAAAAATAGTTTTTGCTGACCTCCCCACCTGTATTATTAGACATGGAGGTGACAATATGCAATACAATGTAACCAACCAAAAAAAATTTCTCCACTATTTCTGGCCTGATTTGTAAATTAAGTAAAAATGATTTCAAGAGGCGGTTGTATTTTGGTCCGCCTCTAGAAGTTAATCTCTAAAGGTTGTCTGTTTCAGACCATCTCAAATTCGATTTTTATAGTCATTGGATAGTTGCCTCTACAAATCATTAATTTTTACAGACACAAATATAGGCGAGTGGAGCTACCGCCTCTAAAAAATGCTTTCTGTAGTTGTGAACTGCAGCACTAAGCGAAGAAGCCACAGCAATAATAAAAGAATTACTCGATCTGCAGTCGATGAATAGTGTTCCACTAATCAAGGTGCCGCTAGCTTTTGTGGTTACTTCTGATATTTAATTATGTGTTAATTTTTTTTCTATGAGTCAACTATATGTGTTTATATATTGCACCAGTTCAAAAAGACATTTTTCATTAGTGTGCCTATATATATGCTTGATGGAATTGCATGCAAATTTATGAATTAGATCATTCATTTACCATATAGATACAATGATCAATTGAATGTAGAATTATAATGTCTTTCATTTTCCATTTTTGGTATACTATGGGGGATTGGAGCTGGATATATGTTCGGAACCATATTTGTGATGAGTACTTAGATGGTCTTAAATCATTTATAACAGCCGGAGAGGTGGATATGTTGAATGAAAACAAGACAGTTACGTGTTGTCCATGCTATGATTGTGAGAATGAAAAGCAGTACTCAAGTTCATTGCATGTCCATCGTCCAAGGATTCATGTCTGACTATAGACGTTGGAACAAAGATGGAGAAGAAGGTTTTAATGATCGTGATTTGAATGCTCCAAGAGTTCTCAGGTCAGGACGGCGAGGAAGAACTCCCTGAAAATCATGCTAGCCTCGATGGTAAGGAAGGACCATTTGGTAGCCAGGATCTCAATGACGATGATCTATAAAATATCGGTGCCAACCATGTCCATACGATTGAGAATCTGGAGTAATGGTGCGTGATGCCATTGGGTTTGATTAGTACACTATTGCGGAGTTCTATATGATTCATCAAAGGTAGGTCCATGTGAGAGATTTGGACCCCGGATCCATGTAATTTAATTTCTATTATTACATCTCTCACGTCATAATAAGTTTGCCTCTTAAAAAAAAATTAAGAAGCATGATGAGTTGATGACTGAAAAAACACACCTACAAACATAATTACTTCGTACTAGCACAAACTGCACACTCAAAGTTAATTAAAACAGATCAATGCAATCGAAGTCGTATCTGACGAAACCGTCAATGTCGAAGGAGCTCTCGCCTTTGCCGAACTCCCAGTCCAAGCATCCGTCCATACGATCCCACTCCCACTCCCACTCCGTCAAGTGCATCATACCCATCAGCTCTGGCACCGGCGTTGACTGCTCGACGATGAACTCAGCCACATTGCACGACGTGCCAGCCTGCAACTCCTCCTCCGGTGAACTGCACAAAGCTGATGATGTGTGCGTTTCCACCGGGCCGTCGTCATCACAGGACGACGGCCAAGGCGAACCGCTTGGCTGGTCGTCGCTACTGGCGGTGCTCGAACCGAAGTTGATGACGAATGGCGCTGGCGGTGGCGGCTCGACAGCGTCGTCGTCGCGGCAGCAGGTGTGCTCGTCGAAGTAGGTGATGAGGTAGACGCCGGGGTCGGTGTCCGACTGCTGCACCTGCCGCCTGGCCATGCAACCACGGTCGTCCTTGTAGGTGCAGCGGAAGTAGAGCCTGATCTCATTACAAGATCACAAGATTAGCTGTCATTCAGCACTCAGCAGACTGATCAATCTCTTGATGCATGATTTCATTCAGAGGTGTCTTGATTAATTGGGATGTTTCAGACAGACCTGGGGTAGTTGCTGCCGCTGATGTCCTTTTGGCCATACTTCCTCCAGATGAAGCCGTCCTCCATTGTTCCTTTCTTCTCAACTCGTGTTCCCCTCTCTCCACGGCTCATCCTGCTCCAGATTATAGTACAGTACTGACTATGCATTTGCCGGTTTGACTTAAGCTGGTAATTAGCTCAAAATGACTATGTTTAGTAATTAGTACGTACTTACCTCATCCTCTTGGATCCCGTCGCCGCAGGGGGAGCAGCCAGGCGATCCTCCCGCTCCGGTTTGCGCTTCCTAGAACTGCTGGCAGCCTCCTCCGTGCCGGTGCCGCTGTGCAAGGCTGCCAGAGCTCGGTCGCAGCAGCGGAGGATCTGCTCGGCCAAATCCCGGAGACCATGGGGCGTCGTTGCCCCTGCGCCAACGACCGCAGGCAGCTGGCCAAGCATGGCCTTCAGAACGGCAGCCGACTCCCTCCCCTTGGCCACGAACTCAGTTGCCGCACAAGCCGGCATACTTGCCATTGCCATCCTTCTTCCCTACCCCTGACTCTCTTTTTGTCTTGTGCCGATTTTGGGCGTGGAGTACTGGGAAAAGGAGCTCCAGGAACTAGATTTTATAGAGCCACCAGTCCACCACTGAGCTTAGCTTAGAGGTAGAGCTTATCTGCCGAAGCGGAAGCAGGCAAGCAGCCTGCTGGAATCCGTTAGAGTAGACGATGAATTACACATTTGAGCACGTGTCGTATTCGTTATTCATGCGCTGCACTGCTGCTGCTGTCCCTCTCTCCCTTAGGCCTTAACAGCGACATTGGATATGATTCCGCGGACGACACGGGGTTGTAACTGGAGCAGGGAAGGCCGTGGAGGGGGCTCGGCTCAGGCATCCAACAAAACTGCCACTTGCATCATGCATCATGCATGGTCAACTGACAACTGATGGTGATGGACTGACTGGAACCCTCGTCCATAGATGTAGAGTGACTTAAAAATGAGCTCTCTTGCCGTCTTAGTGCAGCTACATGCAGCCCACAGCTTGCAGGTGTGAGTGTGAACGACGGCTCCAGCTGGTGTGTGTGTATGCGCACATGCGTTTGGTTTGATCGATGATGTCAACTGACCTTACGCGTGAGAACAGAAGAACAAAAACTAAAATATGTTACCAGCGCGTTAACCCCTATCCTTATCATTTGAAGGACGAATCTCTATCAGTTTTAGTTTCTTTGCTACTCCGTACAATTTAACACGTGAAGCAAACCCGAGTACCTGACAACGCTGTTAATTATTCTTTCCGTTCAAAATTTGAAGCGAGAGTTTTATGGCATGTGCACCCCCTAGTTACGGGAGTGCTTGGAAGTTTTGCCAGGTTGGCCCGCCTAGCCTTGCCTGGACTGCGTGCTCCACGAGACGCTTGCTAGCCCGGGCGAGCCATTTTGGCTCACATAGGGCAGCAAGAAAAACCTTGCCGGCGCAGGAATCGAGGTAAGCAAGGCAGACCAACCAAACAGTTGGCAGTGTCAGTACGGCAGTACCTAGAAAGAGTACCAAGCACACCCTACAAGTCGTCGGGTATGGACTGGAGCACCTAGATAGACGGTGGAAAAAGTTTGCGAATCAAGTTAACTCCCGCCCGTCCAAAAAAAGAATTATTCTATTTTTGTCCAGAGCCAAACTTTCTTAAACTTTAATAAGTATGTAGAGAAGAATATCCATCACTACATATGCATCGCCTCCACCTCCGTTAGCTAACGCATCCATGGAGTGAAGACAGTCGTGATAGCTAACAACGGCTCTGAGGGTCGCTCACGTTGCTTCGAGCAGTCGTCACCTTCCATAACCATTTGTGAAGTCTGAGCATAGCCTTTCTCTTCAAGCAGTGGTCTTGTGGTAGATGCTATCATTGTCCTGCTCAGGACCATCTAGTTAGCTCATTCCGAGATTCGTTTTGTTGCATTCGCTATCGTCGACTTGGGCATTAGGAGCGGCACTGCCCCCATCGGTTCCCCTACCCTACCCTACCCTACCCTATGCCCACCTTCCCCAACTACCAGTGATCCTCGCCACCCCCAACTAGATAGTGGTTGGGTGGATGTTGTGGTTGCATCCCTGTCAAGTCAGCTCTATATGTACTTGACCATCATCTCCACAAAGCCATCCTCCTTCGTGAGGGAAGGATGTATCTCTGGCTATCATTGATCTACAATCCATGCTTGTACCTTTGCTGGACTCACTACACTTAGAGCTTCAACAACAGATCATCACTTGTTTAGAGGATCTAGTTCGACCCCTCAGAGATGAGATTTCGGCTATCAAGTTGTGGCTGGCACGTGTGGCCACATGCCTAAAGCATGTGGAGCTACCAAGTGTGAACCCCTCTATTGATGTATTCGGCCTCTTTGGTCCCTAAAGCATAATTTTTGATAAAAAGCCTGGAAAGCATACTCCCATTACCAACATGATTGAGCTCTTCACCTCTCTTGCGGAGGCTTGCGTGTCCTCTGACTCGTGGTGTGTGAGGACACATGTGTAATCAATGCAGATTCCATTACTAGCGTGAAGACAATAGAGTCCTTGGTGTATGATGACACATGTGCAATCAGTTAGATTTTGTCACTGACGTGAAGACAATAGAGCAAGCCATTGTGGATGTGGTGCCCTCCAAGACCTCCACTGTTCATGTAATAGAGTGGATGTTGGAAGATGTTGTCACTCCTGTTGAGGATATTGTTCTAGTGGAGCACGCATCTGATGATGAGGAAGTTGTCTCAAAAGTGATAGTTGCATACACCAACTTTCTCATCACCATCGAAGATGTGGAAGCTCTAGTTTTGTTTTTGGTGAATTGATGAAACCCTAAGTGCTAACATAGTTTATCAAAGTGATTATGAGATAGGTAGCACTACTCCAAGTGATTAAGCATATGAAGATCATGACATGATGATAGTGATGGCATGGTGATGATTAAATGCTTGGACTTGGAAAAGAAGAAAGAAAAACAAAAAGCTCAAGGCAAAGGTGAAATTGATAGGAGGTTTTGGGTTTAGTGATCAAGACACTTAGAGAGTGTGATCACATTTAGGATCGATAGCCGTACTATTAAGAGGGGTGAAACTTGTATCGAAATGCGGGTATCAAAGTGCCACTAGATGCTCTAACTCACTGCATATGCATTTAGGATCTAGTGGAAAGCTAACACCCTTGAAAATATTTGTGAAAATATGCTAACACACATGCACAAAGGTGATACACATTGTGTTTAGCACTTGGGAGCAAGGGTTCGAAACTTCACCGACGGAGTGTCCGCTCGTAGAGTGCGGACAGTCCGACGGTGCCACCGGGGCCCTATACAGAAAAGACAGGGTTTCACAGAGTGCAACGAACGCTAGTCACGTGGTGATCGGACGCTAGGATTCTATGTCTGGTCAGTGGTGCAGTGAAGACGCACAGAGGAGACGGTGATGCAGATGTGGCAGCGCACAGAGGAGACGGTGAGTGACTAGCACTATAACACAACATACTTTTGCCGACACTTTCTATTGTAGGCAAAGGGCACCTTTACCGACAGATAACCTCCCGCGAAAAGTTTTGCCGACACTTTAGAAACAGTCGCGCTAGAAGCCGTTAGCGAAACTTTTGCCGACAGTTAACAGAATCCCCGACACTTTATGTGTAGGCAAACGGTCTACCTACGCCGACAATTGAAACCTTTGCCGACAGTTAACCTTTTGCCGACAGTTAAGACCTACGCCGACAGTTAAGACCTTTCCCGACAGTTTGTATGTTGACCAAACCATTTCCAAGGTATTTTACAAATCATACCCTGCCAAAAAAAAACTATCGGCAAAACTGCATAGATATAATTACAATTAAAATAATTTGATAAATCCACTTTTGCTCATATAGAAGGCATCACATTGAACAAATTCACTTGATTTTTGTATAAATAATATATTAGATCTTCCATACATACACCCTGCTAGTCAATCTTATCTATTTCTAAAAATTGTAATTCTTTACACTGCAACAAAATACGAAGATATTTGAAAAAACCAAGATATTTGCAAGTATACTGCGTCCACAATAGCAGCATGCCATCTCCAAAGAGAAGAAAATAGGTGGCAGGTACTCCAATACTTCGAGGCTGTTTGGCACCCACTCTCGCCGGCTCTAGCTCCCTGCACAGGCACACTGTACAACACTGTAACGCGGAGCTGGCCGGCTCAGGCTTCGGCAAAATACAACTGCAAAGTGGAGGAGCCAGCGTTCTAAGGGTCCGGCGGCTCCGCCACAATACTCTGTTACAGTGCTCGGAGCCAGGGCTGCCAGAGCCCCTCAAAACAGGCCCTTAGAAGCCGAATTTCTGCCGCTGCAAATGATGGATGGACAAATATGAGATTGCGTACTTGGTACCATTGACTAGAAGAGGGAAGCATTAAAATGGTATGCTCTTGAAAGGAAAAGGCAAACTATACGAACGGCCGTTAGTTACACAAAATTTGGCTGTCTGTTGTTGGTCAATATATGCAAGCAGCTCATCCTGCCGAATCAATGTCTCATACAAGACCTGCTCACGAGAGAAACAAATGTCAGTACAGGAAAGTAGCATTTTCTAATAATTGTTTCATGAACTCCATGTATCAATCTAGGATTTCACGTCTGGTTCTGATACAACAAAATTATCAAGAAATTTAGTGAACAGCCAAATTCTTGGATGTAACTAACATGGCTGAGAAAAATATTATTACCTCACAATGAAGCTACAGCATATACTTAAATTTTAAGATACCAAACTAGGGTCAACCTGGTAATCAGCTTACAGCTACTTTTTTTTTCTTTAAGAAAACAAGAGTACATTCTTCATAGAAATTAGTTCAGCTTCCAACACATCCACGCGAAAAACAAGAGTATTTTCAGCATTCCTAAGGAATAACCCAACACCATTTTCTCCTAATATGAAATGCATAGTATGCAAAATTCCAAAATAATCAGAATATTTAGAACCAGAGAAAACTGAGAACCATCTACAAATTGCAAAGCTTCGTTCCGAAAGCTTATCTTCCTCTGAAATATTTTATCTGCTGTGTGTAAACTTAAGTATATTAAGCCATCATGCATCTCCTATGAACCAAGTAATCTGATGCGCTATTTTAACTTGAAGTAAAGCATTCGTCATGATCTACCCAAAAGCACACATGATAGGGACTGCATGTTCTATGGAAGACTGAAATATGGTAGAGTGAAATTTTACGTTAATCCACCCACATGATATGATCTCCAGGGAATAGGTTTCATCAATCATTAATATGGGATTGGAGACTAGAGCACTAGGAGATTTTCTCACACATCATCAACAGGTAAACAAAGAACCCAATGCAATTTGTAGAATCACGATCACCCTATGCAAAAAGACATGGACGAGGATAGCAGAGGAACCACAATTACTGCAGAGTTTTCACTTATCTAAAAACTCAGAATTCGCACCAACCAATGCAATTAACAAATAGTTATGGCTTCCTCTGCTTCATTGGATT